GTTTCACACTTGTAAGGCCCCTTAAAAAGAATTATATTAATCGTCTGAATAACAAAGAATTTAATTTATGTTCCCAGCTACTTTACCCTCCAATGCGAAATCTGTTCATTCCGGTGTTCCTAAACTGCTGGTTGGCGAAACATTCTTTAGAAAATATGTTCGTAAGTAATCGACACCTACTTTATTTATCAAAATTATCTCATTAATCAATTTTGAAAAGAAAATTGAAAAAAATTTACCCTCATGTTGCAGAACGACCTACACAGAGCCATGCAGAAATCTCAATCAGCTTTAAGCCAGCAATTGATGATCCTCAGTGCAACGTTATTGTGCCTTGTCTTTACTAGGTAAGTGAATCGTAATTTAGGCACCGACAAAAATGTTAGCAACCATTAATATTTATAATAATCCCGTTTCGAAGAAGTTTTTCCTGTGAACTTTCCCAGCTCCTTGCCTAGTCCCGACCATTACTCAAGCTTAGGCAAAACGAATGTCGCACAGCTTGTATGCAAATCGTATTACGTTATTATTCGAATAACAAGAAAACTTTGCCAATCAGAGGAAGACACTTCCATTTACGAATTCGCGGCTCGCCCCCGCGCGCCTCCGTTAGGATTTCGACAGCGAAACCAGGATAACGAGTCCCTGTGACGAGTCCAAGGCTTCTTGCGCGACGAATCCGACGCCATTCCTTACGAATCGACGGAGCTCTCATTAAAAGATACGTTCTTAGAAGAACGAACCGCAAAGTCGATCGAACGCTAAAAATAAATTCGTAACCATAACTGGAAACAGTTCGTACTTATATGTATACATATATGTATGTACACAGCGGGTCGACGGGTCGTTTCTTATTGCACACGTGAAGTTCGCAACTATGACGCTGGTAGTTCGAAGAGCTGGAGCAGTCGATAGTAATATTCCTCGAAAGGGAGCAGGCTACTTTTAAACAGCGTGTCAAGGCAGCGCAACGATTCCACTCGATACATTGCGTGTAATGACAAGATTGATGAAGAGGCGTATAGAAGAAATTCGACGTCAGCTTCAAATGTTAGGTTATGAGAGTTAGTTATTATTGAACAGTCGTGGGCTCGAATGGAACGAGTGCTTTACTTACATGATTTGTATTTATTATCTCTTGAAATCAATTTCGAGGATTATCTTCTGTGATAGGGAGAAAATTGTCTCTTTTAGACCGAGCGCTCGTAACACAAAAAGTGGAACAATTTTTTACAGTCTGCCATTGATAGGGGAAATATTTATAGCCACAAGCTGTAGATAGATGTACTTAAAAATCTTCGTTACGTGTTAATGCATACTTAAACATTAACTTTAGTTAGCAAAAAGAAAGTAGTTTCTTGAAACAACTTTCAAACAGTCTGCCATTTATTTGAGCACAAGGCAAGATTGCGCAATCCATGAAAAGCTTATTGGCAGATGGTTTTCTCCAGTACAAGAATAAAGCGTACTTATGTTAGTTAGCAATTAAATCGTATAAGAACAATCGTCTAAGAACAATTTTTTACAATCTGCCAAGCTCAATTTAGGCTAATGTTAGCGTAAAGTTGACGAAATTTCACAAGGCAGACTGTTTGAAAGTTGTTTCAAGAAACTACGTTCTTTTTNAAATGCGTTTTCCTAAGATACATAAACTTTTAGGATTGACTGTATAGCCAATAAATCCTTAAAATCGAATAACGAACACAATTTGTCCATAGAAAATATGAAACGAATTTCTGGAACAATTACCGAACGTGACATTTCTCTCATAACGACGGGCATTAGAAACTTCACCTGCCCTTTCAAAAAGTTTCGTTAATCACGTGGACATCGTGATCGCCTCCAGCGACGATACTTGCCATCGTACGCCCACGTGGCTCGCCGCGTCCACAGTCGAACGTCCATCTTCGCACGCAATATCCGAGACTCGCGGTTACAAAAAGGGTGAAACTTCGGCCTGATTGACCCACATCGCGCCCACAATGTGGGACAGTTGTTAATAAGTAATCATGCCGGCTCGTGCAGATGGATTGGTATCGCCATCGATCGGCCTGATTCATTATTTACGATGTAATTCTAGAACGTCGGTGCTCGTAAGCTCGCCCTTGCCTCGCGACCCGGGTTCGTGGCAAGGGCAGTCGTCCCGGACGTACCTTATCACCACCGGCCGATCTCTTCCTATTATTCACAAGTCGTTTCTCAAAGGACAAAGCCAACGTGTATTTTACCCACGTACGTACGAGTCGCCACGGTTCGCCTGTGTTCGACGAGGCAATTCAAGAAGAGAAGTGGTTCCGGGCGCGACCACGGAAACTTCCGAAATCGTCGCCGCCTTGGGAACAGTTCGTTAAACTTAATGACGACAACCTCGGAGGAGTGTAATTAGAATATCTTCTGAAGCGTTTGGAGTCTTCGGAAAATTTAGTCAAACGATGAAACGACAATTGGTAAATAAAAACAGGAATGGAATAAACAGTTTATGGATATTTGAAATATGGTATTTCGAAATCGAGTAACGTCCGCCATTTTTCACAATTGCACAGAATGAATATTGATGAATTAATAATGAAATGGAATAAAAACGCTTCCCTATAGGTTTTTTTTTTTTAAATATCGTCCATACGAACGTTGATTCAATTAAAAATGAACCGACGTGTAAATCCGTTGGTAAATCGTCGACATTTAATTATCAACTGAGAAGTCGACTGTATTAACTCGGGATCACGGATTTAATCCGCGCGGGGGCGTTGAAGAATTGAATGAAATTTTTTCGAACCAATTTCATCCATCCCGGAAGTCGTAGAACTGCAATAAACGGTGAATCATAGTAAGTCCCATCGAAATTACACGCAACATCTTGACGGACGTGTATTTATGACGCCATGCCGGTAGATGATTCGTCAAATTCTTTAATTGAGTTTATCGAACGGCGATGAATTCTCTACGGAACGCGTCGATCGGCGGCCATTAACTTTTGTCCGTCGAACGAAAGAGGAAAAAAATAGGAATGGACTGTCATATTATCCCGACGTGTAGCGATCCGTAATGTCGATAACAATGCCGGTAGTAACAGCGGCGGTAGTTAACGGACGCGCAAACAATTTTCAGGAACGTGTATATTGGCGTGTGTGTTCGGCAAACGAGGCTCTCGGTCCAGTCGCAGAGCTTTTTCCTGCGAAGTGAAAAGCGTCCAATTAAAAAAAACAAATCCTCAGTTTTTTCTATCCATTCTTTATCACTTTTCTCTTTTTTCCAACGTCCTGATCGAATTATACGATTTTTCTGTCTTTATTGGGAATTGACACAAGGGCAGGATCAATAGATATAACTAACCATCATGGCAGCGCGAAGCCAGGAATTATACTCGTGGTCCTGAGAATCTAGGACCGGACACAGTTCAGTTTATGCAGTTTTTGATCGTTCTGCGCATGGCTTCGTCTAGTTCTACTGCTCGCCACGAGAGATCATGGTAAATGTGTCAATTCTTAGTGGTCCTCAAGGGAGTGATCGATATACGGCGTGGTCGCTGCTGATTGGCTATCACCGGAATGTTTCAAAACCGGAAATAGACAGAGAAAGAAAGAGTGTGTAAGTGAGAAAAAAGGAGAATAGTGTAGTGAACAGTGTAAAATAAACCAGAAATAATTTGAAGCAATTTTGAATGTATTGTAAAGATAAATAATTGTAAATGAATACAATTATCTGTCACAGTGAGTATATATTTTGTTGTTGTGTATAATCTAAAAAGTTCTAATATTTATGTTTTGAACATATCACTCAAAAATGAATTGAAGCTAGATAACTTCCAATTTATTTTGCTTATTATTGTATTAATATTATTGTGTTTTATTATCAGAAAAATGACTGGCTGTACAGCAAATTATTATACAAATTCTTCAAGCAAAGGATTCCAAATGTGTTTAAATTTAACTGCCAAGAGACGCACTTCCGCCATTGAAACAATATGGTTGCTCAATTGCCAATCACTCCCTTGAGGATCACTAGACAATTCCCAATTTTTGGGAATTGACACATTTACCATGAGCTTATAATATAAATTCCTGGCTTCGCGCCGCCATGATGGTTGTTAGCTATATCTATTGATCCCGCCCCTGTGTCAATTCCCAATAGCGAATTTTGTAATCGGATGAACCAATCAATGATTCTTCAGTTACAAAACTTGATCTTCGTTCATTTACGAATTTTTAACTGAAGAATCGTTGCGCCAGCTTCGTTATTGAGCCTCGGTCTGCATTAAGGCAGTTCTTACAATAATAATAAT